TTCATTCTTTGAATCCATAAATACTCCCCACATTCACCTTCTGCCTTGTCTTCCTTTCTCTTCTTTCTCTGCTTGCTTTCCCATAGAAATTATGGTCTCAGTTTGAAAGGTTCGATTCAAACCTCCTAGTTACCTACCTAGGGAACAAGAGATGCTGAGCAATTCAATTCACTAGCACTAGAAGATTTTCCTCTGGACAGTAGAAACGTGACCATCAGCTCAGACTAACAGTTTTGGGGGTGATTTCCATGAGGTAAGTAACTTTGAGGATTATTTGCCAGTAAACCATGGGTTATTTGAAAATCTGATTCTCATCTTATTTATTGGGTAGTTAATTCAAACCAGGGGCATATTAGGGACTATAGAGGTAAATATAATTCAGTATCATAATTTTAGTTTTAAATCAGCATTACTTATGTGAATTTTGTAAGCTTCAATATAATTTCTCCTCTCTATTGACTATCAGAATGCAGGTGATTTTTCTGCTCAGGAAAAGTCTGTACAGGTTCATTTCAATATAAATGTTCAACAAAATTCTCATTGTTGAAAAATGTCTTCACTTGTTTAATTTTGAAATAATTATCAACATAGTTTGTTTGTAGTATTCCAAGTCCTCAGGTAATTCATGAATTTCTTTAAAGATAGTTTAGTTGGAAAACCCTATCCTAGTCTAAGAAATGGTTAAATTGTGCTTTTTAAGATATTACTGGAGGCAGAGAGGACAGGAATTATGTGTGGCCTTCCAGACATTTACGAGTTCAAAAATAATGAAAATTGCATACAAAAACAGATTTCTGATTTCAAATAGTATTTGATGTCAAACTATTATATACCTAATGCTAAGAAGTATAGGTTTTAAGGGTAGGGATGGGCTAGAGAATATCTCAGTCTAGCTTTGCTGTGAAGGTGATCACACTATAGTCTGATTTCAGAATAAAGGATGGTCTTTGATTTCCTACCTGTCTAAAAATTCCCCAAAATATATTACTTTAGAGAAAGATTATTAGAGGCTTTAATTGAAAAAAAAAAAAACTGTGGAATAGGAAACACTTATACATGCAACATGGGTGAAAATTGATTCAGCTATGATGATTTGCACCCCATATCAGCAGAGAAATTAGGGGGGTGCTCAGAGAGGTTATTTCTATATGTCATTCACATTTGACCACCTTAGTTTATTTGAATAATTAGAAATTAATGTGATCTGGAAGGACAAATTTATTTTATGCTTCAAAAGGTCAAAAAATAACAATGTAAAATGAACTCCAGAGTATTGCACACTGTAAACAAACAGTATGAGTGTCAATTAATTGAGAAATTTTACTTTGTTCAACCAGGTTGCAATTTAGTGTAGATACTGCACATGGAAAAGTATTTAATACCAGTATATATAATTTATGTACATAGTCATACATATAATTTCTATGTATATGTATATAATTTGCACGTATATGTGTACAGCATGTTGAAAATTACTAAAATAAAAAATTATGCATACACATATAAATAGTTATTATGTGAGGAGTTGGAGTAATTCAGTTGATTCCTTTCTATATTTTTATTTTTCAGATATTCTTTAATGTTGCTTTACAGCTTTGCTATTTTATCAATGCAGAGCCTAAGTCAACACTAACAGTGGAAAGATATTCTTAAAATCTGAGGAATTATGGCTCTTCTAAATTCCCCTCTCCCTTTGTTCAATGCTAGGGAGATCTCTAGGGCCTCATTAGTGTGTTTCAGTATCAGAAACACTCATGGTCAGGACTGCAGTTATCTATGTTCCAAAAGGGAGATTTTTAGGTCCACTTGTCTCTCTTGGGCCTTACCATTCCTCCAGGACCAATAGCAATCAATGTTCTTGGTCTCTATTAACCATGTACATCTTCTGAATTTATAGTAAATTAGTGAGTCAAGTCCTCCAAGGAGCTTATTCTTATTAAACTTCTGATGGACAGGGCTTGACAGGCATTTTTCTCTCTCTTGATCACGTGGATTGCTTGCTGAATGCTGGCTTCTAATTTCCCCAGTGGTTTAATACAATGGGACAGAAAAAGGCAAAAAGGGAACCAGGAAACACATCCAGAAAACACCTGGTAAAAACTGTGATGTAAAGCTAGTAATAATTCAAGAATGTAAAGTTAAGATACACTGTGGGTATCATGAGAAAAACCATGACTGAGAACTTATAACTGGCATGCCATAATGTTGGCAAAGATGAAAGTGTCCCTGGTATGAATTTCTCAAGAACCAGCCAATGGCTTTCAGCTTTCATGACTTCCCCTGTCCTTTCCTCACAATGTATTTTTACTTTCATGTTCTGGGAATAGGGGAGAAGTCGAAATCCAGAGTTCTTAACCAAAAACAACTCTTCCCTTTTCTCCCTTACTTTTTAAAGAAAAGAATATTCTTATATCATTGTTCATTTTTGTACAATATTCCATTTCTTCCTTTAGGAGTAGTTGCCATAGTTCTCCCATCACCATAGCACCCTTGAGCCATAGTACAAAGATTATTCTTAAAGTGCATCTCTGACCACACATATTATAAAGGTTCTCAATTTACTTCAGTTCTAGATTGCTTGAAGGTAAACAAAATGCATTATACATTCTTTGATGTCTTTTAAAGACTTAAACTGGATTCACACAGTGTACCTGAGAAAAAAAAAATTTAAGATTTTTATTTATTTATTTATACAAGCACTGGGTACAGTCAGAAGCACAGGAAGGTGAGAGAATTCACCAGAGCCAGAGCGGGGAACAGAACAGGCAGACCGACAAAGTACACTGCTGAGGGGAGCAGCAGGCGCACCAGGAGAGGTCTGTGTGCCATGTGGGAGCCTCGCCCCACGCTGTAGAGGCTGCAGGCAGCTTTGCAGCCCAGAGCTCAACTGCTGCGCCACAGGGGAGGCCCCTGAGAAAATATTTATTGAATAAAGAGATTAATGCCTTCTTCACTTCACTTCACTTCATTATCACTTTTCTGAGTCATGAGACCATGAGGAACTTTCTTAACCTCTTTAAGTCATTTTTTTTTTTATTTTCAATATTGGAGGCTTTCTATAGTATTTTACTGTATTATTGAGGAATACAAATTAAATAACATTTATGAATCACTAAGCACCAAGGACACTATTAATGAGTTTTACTATTATTTGCAGGTGAGTACATATAAAGACAACATCTGTACTTTTGCTTATTTGCTATTGCACTTGAATATTTTCTCAGTTATTTCTAGTTTTTCCTCCAGATTATGTTTATTGAGATAAATTAGGTTTAATCTCTCAAATATTTCTAACTTGGATTTTATTCAAATCTGGGGAGCTTGGTTGCATGGGGCTATATCAGGCCATTGTTTTCTGGGAAAGGGGAACTCCTAGACAATGCACTCCAGTAGCAATCTGATCAGAGACACAGAGGTAATTTTAAATTTTCTAGTAGCCACAGACATTAAAAAATGTAAAAGAAGTCCAGGTAAAACTAATTTTAATCCATTTTAAACAAATATATCCAAAATATCAATAGCAATATAAAAATGTCAGTGATATATATTGAATATCTTTTTTATATTAAGTATTTGGTTCTTAATGCACTTTGTGCTTTCAGCCCATCTCCTGTTCAGAAAATCATGTTTCAGGTCCTCAACAGCCTCATGCGACTTGTGGCTACCATACTGGACAGTGGAGGTCTATATGATGCTGACAGAAACTGTCCAACTAACCCACCAGTTCATAAGTATGGTAAAACACAATTTAACTGATAGGTGCACATGAATACTTAAGCTTCAGGTTTAAGCAGAAGGGGATATTTTCTAGTATCATTTAAGTAGTTGTTTTTCCTTTCCTATTAATAATTCATTTGTTAGTTTTTGCTTCAATTTCACTGATCAGATCACTGAGTTGCATATTATTAATCAGTGGTTTTCTTCTGAAAGGAGGGATATAAACACTTAACCCTTAAACATTTTTTTCCTGTGACTGTATTCTTCTATCAATTCTTTGATTGTTTTTTAGATCTCAGAGCTCTTTTTCATTCAACATAGAATCATTATTTTAAAATGTCCAACACCCAAAACATTAAAATTATATAATGCACACATGTATCAAGAATAGTATAATTAACTAAAGTCAATCAAACTTACTATTTTTTCATAGGTAAAATATTTGTTCTTGATTAGTGATTTTTAAATTGAATTCTAATTGTGAGACTTAGAATCTCACAAGAAGTTAAATATGTGGAAAGCATTTCCTCTCTTCCTTACCCATCACTCTATCCCTATTCATTCAATCAGATAATTCAATTTTTATCTATTTAATTGTATTATTCTCAATATAAGATTGTGACTGACAGATATATGTTTCTCTATATATATATTATGTGTAGTGTATGTGTAAATATGTATATACATATATATGTGTATGTATGTATACATATGGGTATATATACATGCATATACACATACATGTATGCATACATATACATATATACATACATATATACACATACATAAATATACAAATACATACAGACACATGCTGGAATTCTTCCTCTAATATAGGAGTCTTAGCACTGTCTGTAGAATAAGAAAGGAATATACATGGAGCAGAGAAAGAGAAAAAACATAAAATTGTTACATTGTGATATCTAAGAGCAAAGGTAATTGTCAGGAAATTAAGCATATCCTCTTGAATGTTTGATGATATGGTTTGATATAGGATAATCTTGCAAAGGCGGTCTTCCAAAAAATTACAAGTTCCAAACTTCATGAAGGGAGTCATACTTAGGACCCAAGATTAAAGCCTAATTTCTCAAAGCAGCCTTGTTAGTTGGAATTAATTCCAAGAAGTATTAGAAAAATGGGGAAATTATAAAATGAGATGATTAATTTGTTTTCATTTGCCCATGTCTATATCATAGAGATTTAAGCAAGCCAACTATTTATCTTTTGTTTAAAGTATTATATCCTTTTTTTGTTTGTTTGTTTGTTTTGTAGCCTACAGAACTATGGAGTGGGGCAATTATTCCATGTATGACGACTTTGTCCTCTTGGGCTTATTCAGCAACAGCCATTTCCCCTGGCTTCTCTTTGTCCTTATTCTCTTTGTCTTTGTCATCTCCATAGCTAGCAACACCATAATGATCATTCTCATCCATATAGACTCCCGACTCCACACCCCCATGTACTTTCTACTTAGCCAGCTCTCCCTCATGGACATACTCTACATTTCTACCATTGTACCTAAGATGTTGGTTGACCAGATGGTTGGGCAGAGATACATTTCTTTTGCAGGCTGCACAGCCCAGCATTTCCTCTACTTGACCTTGGCAGGGGCTGAGTTTTTCCTGCTGGGACTCATGTCCTATGACCGCTACGTTGCCATCTGCAATCCTCTACACTACCCTATCCTTATGAGCCGTAAGGTCTGCTTGTTCATTGTGGGAGCAGCCTGGGTGGGAGGGTCTATAGATGGCTTCCTGCTCACCCCAGTCACCATGCAGTTTCCGTTCTGTGCCTCTCGGGAAATAAACCACTTCTTCTGTGAAGTTCCTGCCCTGCTGAAGCTCTCCTGTACTGACACATCAGTCTATGAGACGGCCATGTATGTATGCTGCATCATGATGCTCCTCATACCTTTTTCTGTTATCTCAGCCTCTTACACAAAGATTCTTATCACTGTCTATAGAATGGGTGAGGCAGAGGGGAGGCGCAAGGCAGTGGCCACCTGCTCCTCACATATGGTGGTTGTCAGTCTTTTCTATGGGGCTGCCATGTACACTTATGTGCTGCCTCATTCTTACCATACCCCTGAGAAAGATAAGGCTGTGTCTGCCTTCTACACTATCCTCACTCCCTTGCTCAACCCACTCATCTACAGCCTCAGGAACAAGGATGTCTCAGGGGCCCTGCAAAAGGCTCTGGGAAGATGCTTGTCTTCAGGAAGAGTAACCAGCTTCTAAAGAAACTGTGTTTGCTGATAGAGGTTTGAAGAAAAGGGTATTGAACTTTTTCATCACCTTTGGATTTAAATATTTTCTTCATGGAATCTTAACAAGTCACAAAATGTACGACATTCATGAAATTTCATGAAATTTGAAAATCTCACTATAGGATTTTGAAATCTGATCATATTTGGAAAGGTATGAGCGTTCTGAACAATGGGCTTCTTGGGATAGTATGGGGATAAAGTTGAGGTTTCAGTAGTCACCTCACTGCTTTCTACAAAGTACACATTCCATGGGACACCATGCTGTTGTCTGTTTCCTGAGGGGTTATTCATGACAAAGGAAATGTTCACTTACGCTACCTCTGACTTCTCATCATCTGTCTTTATATAGTCTACAAATTGACCTCTTCAATGAAATCAACCTATCAAATACTATTTCAATTCTATTTTAAATGATTTTTAAATATCTAATTTGTTTTTCTACAAATGATGATTTTTTTCTCTCATTCCATTCTTTAAATTCAATCAAAACAGTATGATTAATCTTCTTACTTGAATATTATTATGACTTGGAAACACAATATTGCACATAAACTTTGGCGACCAGTTTCTTTACAGTTTCCCTTACTGTTTAGAAAAATCCATCCCAGTACAATGAACTCAGTGCTTGAAAAATATTGCCTGGGTCATTGGTAAGCATGGATGGCTCCTATGTTTTCTATCCTTCATTGTCCCAATCTTCTAATATTATTAAATAGGAGCAAATCAGGCAATTTCAAAAGCACATCTATTTCACTGTATTTAAATTCTCTAATAACCTTATATTTCATTTTCATACAAAAGAAGGGACTCTTAAAATTTTTATTTTATTCTTTTAGAAATTAATATGCATTACTCACTTTTTCTACTTTTATAAAATTTTAACTTATTTATTAATTTCAATAATTGCATATTAACCAATATTCTTCTGAATTAGAATATTTTGTTTTTACTTCTTTTTTATGCTTTTCCCCATTTGATTAAAACATTATATTGTAAATCCGCAGAATTTCCACCTTTCTACTTTTGTATCTTGGAATTCACTTGCATTATATTTCATCATTTTAGAAAGAAATACACTGCATTACAAATAGCAAATGTAATTATATATAAGCTCATTTTTTTAAATCTTTATGTATTGGGGTGATTTAAATGTACATAGACAAGTAAGTTTGGAGTTGACATATGTTTTTAGAAAATCCACTGTTTCTATGGGAAAGAAAAGGAGAAATATCTTATTATAGAGCTTCAAAGGCACCTTATTTTTCTATCTTGTATTTCCAAAGAGGACAGATTTATAAAAGATAACATGTTTCATATCCCTAAAAATAGGGAATTGTTCTAGTTTTTCTCAATAACATCCAGATTGGAACCAGAAATTGATGTAAACTTTTAGACTCCATTACCATCTCCTAATAGATTCGAATTCTTCAACCAAGTCCTCCATTATTTTTTTTACTTTATTTTATAAATCTGTGTTGTGGAGGAAATGACTGAGATTAGGATTTTAAGTTTTGGCCATTTTTGTGATTTAGGAATAGTGATTAAACCTTACAAATGCATTCTGAATAGGATAGAAATAATGGGGTAAAGGAAAATTTAATTATCATGGAGAATCTGACATTATAACTGTCATTAATTTCAAATTATAGATGAACTTACTATGTCAGGTTGAACAAAATAATTTGATTTCATGAACTCTCATTTCCTAATGTATTAAAATAGGATAGTCTACCCTATGTGTTACCTCAGAAGGATAATTTTGAGAGATCACTGATGCAAAACAATTAAGCTTTAGAAGGTGCTATACGCCGTGAGGTATTATTTGAACTAATTCATCACTGTAGAGAAGATCAGTGAAACCTGTGTCTTTCGCCCACTTCCATTCCAGGAGAGAGATTAATTTCTTGACATTGTACAAAGTGGATTTTTTTTCTTTCTTAGATAAGGCTACAAAGGTAATCAATGCCTTCTAGCTCCAAGATAAGATCTTTAATAAAACATACAGAACATAATTCAATGAGTGGATTACTCTGACAGACCATCACATAACCTTGTAATAACATAATAATCATTGGCCCTAGCATATCATGGAGAACTGGATATCATAACTTCACTTCATAAAGTGAATTAAAAGAAAAGAGGCAAAAACACCTTAATGCAAACAAAAGTTCTTTGGAAAGAAACTACTTAACCAAATGTGAAGGGCTTCAGCCTCTCCACCAGTGAGTCAAAGGGGCTGCATGACTTCATGCATATTTCTTAAGCATTTTCTTCTTAGCTTTGTCAGAAAAAAAATAACATTGACTGAATAAATAAAGTAAATGTGGTATGTTCTGTAACGCATTTCTTTTCATCATCAACCACTTTTCTCACCTCTAGTGTAGTATTAACAACCTAGGGTACACTTGTCATTCGGTGACTCTCTTTTCCCAATTCAAGCCCTTTTTTCCCTTGCTCTTATATTGTTTCCCTTATGTTTCTCTTCCCCGGTTTACCTCTTCTTCCCAAGATCACAATTTGCAAGAAGAATAGCTCCTCTCTCCCAATTTTCTTCTCTTGCTACAACATTATAAATAAGCCCTATTGTTGTTGCACTCTGAGTTGAGTCATTTAAGTTTTAATCACATGGGTGAGGACATAGAAATTGTGACATTTGCTAGGTTTGCCCAGGTTCAATAGAGTTTTGGTTAATGTAGATAGATTTATAATCAAAATGATTCAACACAAATCTGTTTGTCTTTGTCAGATTAAATTAATGGTAGCCAGAAGATTTATATATGAAAAACATAGGCAAATATTGATATTTTCCTTTAATAATGTACTCAATGGGTGTCCTTGGTTCTGATGTATCAGAATAAATATTTTTAGTCCAAAAATGGAAATCCCACAGTATTAAAAAAATATACTTCTTAATGAGTCAGAATAGTGTAGTGAACTTTATTCCCAATTCAAACCGATGTTTGCATGCTCTATGTCTTGGATGCCTGATCCTTCATGTGTGCTCTGAGTAAGTTCTGTCATCTGGTTAGAACCGATCTTGGGCTTTTTACATCAACACTTTTTGGCATAGAAGTTAGATGTCATCTTTAGTGATTCAAAGTCTTTGTTTAGTGATATTGCAGTATATATCTCCAATAATATTATAAAGGGCCTGAACGTATCTTTTTTTACTTATTTTTTAGTAATAAACATATTCTATAAGTCCACATTGGTAATAGTTACAGGATTGTTGCAAATGATGTAAATGTAGCAAAGCAAAAACAATTCAAACCATTTATTGAACAAACTATCCCTGTTCCATTGCATATCAGTTGCACCCTTGTCAAAGATTAGTTGTGCATAAATGTGTGGGTTTATTTCTGGGTTTTCTATTGGATTCAGTTTGGTCTGTGTGTGTGTGTGTGTGTGTGTTTGTTCCATTACCATACAGATTTAATTTTTATGATTTTGTAGTATAGTTTGAAGTCTGGGGGTGTGATACCTCCATTCTCCTTCTTTTTGGTCAGGAGAAATTTGGCTGTTCGAGGTTTATTGTGGTTCCATATGAATTGCATCAATATTTGTTCTATTTGAAGGATATAATTAAAATTTTTATTGGATAAAGGACTTGGACATCAGACCTGAAACCATAAAATATATAGAAGAAAATATAGGCAAAAACACTACAGGACATACATCTTAGTAGCTTTTTTTTTTTTTTTTAAAGATTTATTTATTTATTTATACAAGCACTGGGTATAGTCAGAAGCACGGGAGGGTGAGAGAATTCACCAGAGCCAGAGCGGGGAGAAAAGCAGGCAGAAGGACCGAAGTACACTGCTGAGGGGAGCAGCGGGCGACAGGAGAGGTCTGCGTGCCGTGTGGGACCCTCCTTCAGTGGCTGGGGAGCAGTCGGGGGTCGAACTGGTGCTGCAGAGGCTGTGGGCAGCTTCGCAACCCAGCGCTCAACCGCTGCGCCACCGGGGAGGCCCCATCTTAGTAACATCTTTAAAGACACATCCTCCAAAGCAAAGAAAGTGAAGGAGAAGATGAATGGCTGGGATTACATAAAATTAAAAAAAAAAAAAAAAAACTCTGTACACCAAAAAAGACATTAACCGAAACAAAGAGACCCCCTCACTGATTGTGAAAATAAATTGCATGCAATATCACTGATAAGGGACTAATCACAAAGATCTACAAAGAACTAATGAGACTCAACAAAAACAAATTAAATAATCCAGTCAAAAAGTGGGCAGAAGAGCTAAAAAGACAATTATTCAAAGAGGAAATGAAAATGGTCAACAGTTATATAAAAAAATGTTCAACATCACTTGTAAGCAGGGAAATGCAAATCAAAACCACAATGAGATACCACCAACAGCAAATGTTGGTGAGGATGTGGAGAAAAAGGAACTCTTCTACACTGCTAGTGGGAACGCAAACTGGTCCAACCACTATGGAAAGCTGTGCAGAAGTTCCTCAAACTACTAAAAATAGATCTTCTATATGACCCAGGAATTCCACTCCTAGGTATCTACCTAAAGGACACCAAAATATCAATTCAAAAGGATACCTGCGCCCCTATGTTTATTACAGCACTATTTATGATAGGTAAGATATGGAAACAATAAAATGTCTAAAAAATAGATGACTGTATCAAGACAATGTGATATATATACACAACAGAATACTATTCAGCAATCAAAAAAGAAAAACTAATGCCATCTGCAGCAATATAGATGGAGCTAGAAGGGATTATGCTCAGTGAAATAAGCCAAAAGGAAGAAGAAAAATATCAGGTGGTTTTACATATAGGAGGAACATAGGGGAAACAAACAAGGGACATGAGAAATATATAGTAAATTAAAAAAAGTTAATAGGCAATTTAATCAGAGGCACTCTACAGGGAAAAGAGAGAAAGAGGGATCAAAACAGGGGAGGGAATGTGTTCTTACACAAGGGACTATGGTGATGGTGCACAGGTGAATT